TAGCGAATTGAAGATATTATCATGAAATTAACAAATCTGAGAGAAGTTCACCTGAGGAACCTACCGGGTATATGTGTAATATCAAAGCAATCAGACTAGCGGTTTTCAAGAAAAAGGCAAAATTATCACTTCTTACCAAAAATAACAAAAATATTCATCAAAATTAAAAAATCAAAGATATTATCATGAAAAGAACAAATCTGAAAGAGGTCTACCCGTAGACGGACTTGCAGTTTTTAAAAAGAAATTGAAAATATCACTTTTTACTAAAAATGACAATAATATTCATTAAAATTAGAGAATCGAAGGTATCATCACGAAATGAACAAATCTGAGAGAAGTCCAAACAAAATGTTGACATGGACACTGGTGGTGATGGACAATCAGTCATATGATTAGCTCTGCTTGACGAAGTTGACAGTAGAGCTCAAAATGTAACATATCAAGCAAGTTGGTAAGTCATCTTTTGTAGTATAGGGTTGAACGAACTTCAGGGTAAACTGTAGAATGACAACACATACTGTAATATACTTTATTTTAGCTGGAATTAATTTTTCGCTGAAAAGACTTTTTGGGTGTTTTGTATGTAATTTATTATCACTGATATGATTATCTGACCAGTTGAATGTAAAATATAGGAAAAAAGGCATAGTCACTGGATTTCATTTTCTGAATAATTCCTTCAGCGAAAATAGCGAAAATTATTTCCAAGTGAATATAAAGTATTTTACAGTACAAACAATGTACATATATGTATAATAAACATATCATTGCTGTAAACTATGTTTGACAAAAAAATTAACCTATTATTATGTTATAATATCTCACATTATAAAATTCAGAGAATTATTTTAGAGCTTTTCACACTCTCAGAACAACATTTTAATATAATTTCAGAACACTTTAATGCTGTTAGCAAGTACATTTCAGTTAGAGAATTGAAGATACATGTATCATCATGAAATGAACAAATCTGAGAGAAGTCCACCTGAGGTACCAAAAATTAACCTATTATTATGTACATTTTAATTTTAATTTCTGAACACTTTAATATGTAAATGGCAGGTATGTGTATGTAAACAAGTTGTAAAATTCAGTACAGTATATGCAACTGTTTGTGTACATGTGCTTCTATTGGAGATGCACTTCTAATATGGAATGTACCATTGGCACAAGAAACAGGACAATGACATTGAATGTAGGAAACAGTTGCCTGGGACAACGTATAGAGTCAATTTACAATATGCATCATCGTACTGCAATGCAGACATGCTTTAATCTATACACATCATCTGACTGATAACTGATGACAATTTCTGTCATCTCTATTATTGACTAAATTAACTGATCAGTTCAATCAAATAGACCAATTAATTATGTTTATTATTTCCTAGTATTTTATCTCCTTCAGTCCTTTCAGCACCATGTCAGATTATATCAATTGTTGAAACTTGAGTTAATTTTATCATTCTATCTTTTTTCGTTTGTTGATGTTTTCATGAGCATTGCATTCAAGATCTATGTTTTATTGCTTTTGTGGATATACATCAAAATCAATCTAAACGTTAAAAGTCAAACACATTTTATTGAGAGAAGAAGGCTCTATGTCTGACAAATGTGTTTATGATGGTTGAAAAACATGCAGTCGTTTGAACAGAAATATCAAAATTTGTCACCTTTTCAAAAAATAAACACACATAATTTTTTTGGAATATTTCGTTTTTATTTTTTTTATCAAGACCTATAAAAGCAATAAAAAAATGTTGCTCATTTCTTCAAAAATTTATGAAGAAATCAAAAACGGAACGGAAAAGACAAAGAAGTTTTAAACTCCCATAAATTTTTCATAATTTTTCCAAAATTATGACCATTTGGTCCAAAATATTAAAAAAAGAAAAGAAAAAAAAACATAAAATCGGCAAAATATTGAACCTAAATTTTGCAAAAAAAATTATGGTGTTCAAAGTGTTAAGTGGTAGCGTAGCGTAGGTGAATTTCTTACATACATACATACAATCATAGTGGTCACAGTACAAAGGATGGTTAAACAATTGTAACGACATGAAAGGCAACAAATTATAGTGGAAGTTAACACTTGTGAACTCTTTGAATGAAGCTGTATACTTAGAAGTACATGTTAATTTAA